GATGAGGCTTTGAGCAACCTGGTCTAGTGGGAAGTGTCCCTGCCCGTGGCAGGGAGGTTGGAACTAGATGATCTTTCAGGTCCCTTCTAACCCGAACCATTCTACGATTCTGTGATCCTGCTCTCTCCTATGTGTGTCTTCTCTGGACACATTTCTTTGTATTGCTGTTAACTGATCTAGTATACTCTTCCACAGTGGTTATAGGAGAATTTCTCTACTTTTCCAGACCTTAGGGGAAGCTCGGGAAATTACGGGGAATATGAAAAAAAAAAAAAAAAAAGTGGGTGAATTAACTGCGTGTGAGCAGGTAGTCCAAACTTATCCCAAAGTAGCTCAGACCAGCCGGCAGTGCCAGGGAAAGCATACAACTGAAATGGTGGAATAACTTCATGTGTGAATGGGGTAGTCCTGGGAGCAGCTTCCAGGCAAAGCACACATAAGATTTCCTTATGGTCCTGCAGTGAGCACACACTCCTGGGGTACATATGGGTACACAGCTCTGTCAGGTGCTGGGGATCATCAATTTTCATTGATTTGAAGAAGTGGTGTCTAGGCATGTTACAAAACAGAACGCACAGCACAAATAAAATTGTAAGAAATAAAATTATTCTACATATAATTTTTCCCACTGTGTTTATACTATAAAGTCTCAAGGAAAGTTTCTCAGGCTTGTAAATAAAAGGGGCCCAGAACATCCACTGGATGTTCATTGTAGGAGATACTGCATTTTTATCTATAAATACATTTTAATAAAAAACTGAAACTACAGAATATCTTATAGGTAGGTTTTAAAAAGACTTTATTTTCTACCAGTCTTCATGCATCTACTAATGTATTTCTTATTTTATGACAGAACTCATCTTTTTGAGGCCAGTCACTGTTTTCCATTCCTAAGTGCTAGTGTCAGGTTTTTTTTGTAACCGACACTATAGGTGTAAAACCTGGCTGAAGAATCTATCTCTCTATTGTGTCCTGGGTTATGCTGAGACAGAGTTAACTTTCTTCATAATAGCTAGCAAGAGGCTGTGTTTTGGATTTGTGCTCAGAAGAAAGCTGATAAAAACTGATGTTTACGCGGCTGCCAAGGTCTTTCAGCTTCTCTGGCTGTCCACAAACAGGAGAAGCTGGGAGGGAGCACAGCCCCAGTCACTAGCCTAGGACTTGATTTTAGGTTTGGGATTGAGACCCAAAGTGGCCGATAATCTATTCCATAACATGCACGTCATGCCTGGTATATAGGTGAGGCCCTTCCAGAAGATCGGCCCTTTTTGGTTCCGGATCTCTTTTGCTCTGGGTCATCTCGCTAGTGTCAGGCTTTTATATAACTGACACTATGGGTGTAAAACCTGGCTGAAGAATCTATCCCTCTATTGCCTGAAGGATATTTTATTTTAATGACTGTGTGTGTCAAGTCTGACCATTTAAAAATATACCTTTCTACAGAGGTGAAGGTAGTCAAAAGGCAGTGACGGAGCTGTGAAGCAGGATGCTAATCTTTTTGTGTTCTGTTCAGAACATACTGACAGATAAAGATGACTGTCCCAGGAGGCCTGTCCCACAAGGCAATGACTACTCTTACTTCCTGCAGATGCAGCACAAAAGAAGAACAGGATACTTAACAGAAAGCTTAAAACAAGCCATGACAGCTACCTTCTCTTCAGAGTAACACAGAAGAAGGAGTACTTGCAAACCATTAACCTACTGCTTAAAATTATTTTTTTTCTTCCTCCCATTTCCTCATATGGTTTGTACCTTACCTTGTACGGGACTGACATCAGGCTTTTTGGGCTCTGGCTGTCTCAAGTGCTTGGGTAGCATGTCATTCTCCTGGTGCCATTTTTTCAGGCATTGTGGCTCATGGATACTAATTGATTTTGTTCCATACTCACGGCCACATATGTAACAAATCACTGTTGGTGGCCGTCTTATCACTTGTGCCTGCAAATAAAAATTATGAAGAAGAATCATTATTGTTTTCCATAATAATTTTGAATCAGATCAACTTTGGATGAAAACAATAATGTAGATTAAGAAACCGATTCATATCTGTGAACTTAGTGTTTACATCAATTTTGTTTTGTCTGGATTCAGCCTTGAAGCTTGTAAGAGATACTGCCTTATTAACTGGACACCTGGAACAGGTAGGCTCCTTCTGAAGATACTGGGCTGAAAATTTGTGTGTCACCTACTTAATACTTAGCTTAATAGGTTTATGGTTTAGCTTTTATTTTCACACCATCAAATTCATATAAATGCTGAGTCTTCATGTGTAGATCCTCTGCTTGATCAGGTTGCTGAGCAGAGTGTCCATCTTAAATGTTGAAAAGAAAGACCCCATCTCCAGGCAGAACTGAGTTAAAGCACTGTGTCCAGCCTTAGCATCTCTCTTAAGTTGGACAGTGAGGGCAGCTCTCGAGCTTGTGATTGTGGTCCCTAACCCTCCATTACGTCTGCCACAGATGGTGGAATTCTTAGCCTTGAAAGATTACAAATGTTCCAGAATATTTCAAGATTTGGGGGGGAGGGGGGGGCGGGGAAGGAACTGTTGCTTGTTTGCTTGTTTATCCTGAAGGCTTCAGTGTGAACTTTGCCAATGACTGCAGCGAGGGCAGAACTGGACTCTAAGCAAGTCATTGTTTCTGCACTGCAGATCTGCTTTTGTTCACAGAGCTCAACGGAAGAAAAAAAATCCCTCAAACCCAAACCCCACAAATACATATTCTAAACTTGAAAAATATATAATTACTGTGGTATTTCGGATTATGAACTTGACTGTGTCCTTAGGCACATCCTGGGCTAGGCGTGGTGTCAGTACCAGCCCTGCTCCAGGAGTAGCCTGAAAAAGTAGGGCAGAGACAGCACCCTGAGGCACAATGATGGGTCTCACCACTGCCAGCACTTCCTACACTCCTGACTGAGGCATACCAGTAAGAGACGAGCTATTCCCTGCCCTTCTAAAGGTAGAGGGACAGCCATGCCAGACCAAACACAGGAAGCCTACCTCACTCAAACAAGGGAGGTGGGGATTTCATTTTTTCCTCTGCTGCTGTGTAAGACAAAGCACAACCTGTTCCAGTATTTGACTCTCTCTGTCAGCCCATCAGTGTATTCAAGAAATTCTGGGCAGCTCTTCTACCATTTATGCTACAGTCTGAAAATGTCATTAGTGAACAATCTGCATAAGCTTTCTTTCCTGTATCACACATGTAAACTCAATTACATGAAGAAATACTACTCTACAAAGGGTATTTTTGCTGAGAGAAGTTGGAGTTCATCTGGAAAGTTCTCACAGTGAATTGAAATATAACTTATCTAAAGACAGTCTTTCCAAGGACGTTTTCATCCTCTTAGCTTTCAAATGGAATTTCCTTAGCCATCTTTGAAAACAAAGTATTTTATATATATATATAAATATAAAACCTTATCTTCCTTCCTATTCATAGCTGAATAGAGCAACAACTGTTTTAAGAATGCCCTCTAATATTTCCTTATAAATTTTCACCTACTTCCATACTTCATCTCTTGAGCCAGGCCTTGTCTGATTTGGAGCTAAGACTCTGGATCCACACATAGAGTCTTTTGAAGGCAGTGTGTGTTTCTTTGTAGGCCCTGGAGAGCTTTAGATAAGGATACTGTAGTCTAAACTCTCGAGGTCAGGGGACTAATTTCAGGGTGCATGCTTGTTATGGATATGCTTATAGCATTTTAGTAATTATTTACTTAAAAAAAGCTAGCTGTAAAAACACTGGGAGCACATTTGCCTCTCTAATTTTCATTAGCCAGGTTCCTGTCATTCAGTAAAATAGATTATTTATTGTCTGAAAACTAGGAAAGAACGATTTGATTTAGATTCGATTTGTAGGGACTACTACCAGACAATGGAACGGGAAAAAGGAATTTTAGTACAAATGGAAATCATGCTTACTTAGCCTGCACTGTCACAATCATTTCCACCATATGGGGCAGTATAATAAAAACAAATGCATAGCTTCAAGGAAACTTAAATTCCTGACATGAGACAGGTGAAAAATCACTTAAAAAATTAAATATTCCCAATAAATTTCACAGACACACAGAAACATAATCGTTAAAATCAAGCAGTTTTTTACCTTAGAAATACTTCCCTAGTGAACAGAGATAACATTTATCTCTGTCTGCTTCATTCAAATCCCTTACACTTGTTCTAAAGTCATTGTGATGTCCTATTATGGAACAGCTGCAAGACAAAAGTTAGTGATCTCCATCCAATGCAATCCGGATACATTTCCACTGTTCTGAGATGGTCTTCTTGGTAGTCTCACCTGAAAACCTAAAGACTTAATGAGCAGTACTGTGATCCCTCCAGATCCTGACAGAGTGTTTATAGGTGAGGTTTGTGTTTTGACTGAGCAAAACCAGGCACCTAAAAAGAGGATTGTTTTCCAAAATTATCAGTTGGGATTGATTCATAACTAAATCCTATTTGGTGAAAAAAATGTTTAAGAAATCTGTTCAAGTAGAAATGTCTCTGTTTTGTAATTTCCACAATTAAAAACTGTACAGAAACAATTACAGAGACCAGAATTCATTAAAAGGAATCTGATTGCTCTAAAGACGGAATTATTTTTTCCAGATATTTAATGGCTTTGAACCATCACCACACACCAAGTCATATACACAAATCCTCTGCAAATACACACATGTTAAAAAGCTGAAAAATAAAAGCTGAAGGAGATTATCCTTACAACCGGTAGTAGGAGCTCTTCTGTTGGGTAACTGTGGAATCTGAGGTATGATAAGCTTTATTTGGAACTTCCTACAGCTGATGATATTTATCGTTCATTTCTTTTTCTGTTCAGAGTGTGCCTATCCCAAATGTCACATCTGGAGGCCTGCAGTTTGAAGCTAAACTATTTTTGGAATCACCATAATTTTCCAACCCAAACTACTCACAGACCAGTGGCTAGGCTGTCTGCTCACTGCTTTGTTTTTCACTTTTAAAAAGGATTGCAGGGAAGGCCTGTTCCTGAGGATATGTGTTATTATAAAAATACCTACTAATACCTACCAGTGCAGTCAGGCTTTCCTCTGGTGTCCCAGTATTTTCTTTTTTCTCCAAGATTGCTAAGTATGTCTGCATGACCATGAATGAAGTTATTTAGCTCAGAGGGCTACACAGCTATGTATTTTCAATAGACCTGACATGACTTGAGGTTAGCCCCAGGCTGCTGTTATGGTGTTACATGAGGTCAAATCCTCCCATACTGCACAAAGATTTTAATTTCGTCTTAAGTACACCCAATAAGGCTGACTCCCAAACTCCTCTCCACAAATATTTATCATCCAGTACTGCACACACCCCCACCTTTCTTATTTGTTTAATTACCCATGTACTTTAATGGGAGGAGGGGAGGCCTCCTGCTCTAGGCCAGAGCTCTTGTCATAGGCTTGAAACACCCCAGGAACAGAGGTGCAGGAAAAGATTGGTACAAACACTTAGCAACAGCATTGCGTTGCATGAAAGCAGCCCTTTCCACACATTCTTCTCTGAAAAGTAAGAGGCATTTTGCACAAGGGACAGGGACAAGCCATGGCGTGGCTCTCGTGACCATCCAAAGGTGCACTTCATAGCTTTCTGGAGTGCTTCCAGCCACTGCCCTGGCACAACAGAAGACTAATGTTAGGACTGGACATACACTTGTGTATGAACTTTCCTTGAACAGCACGGTAATTGTCCTAGAACCATAGAGTCGTAGAATGACTTGGGTTGGAAGGGACCTTAGAGATCACCTAGTTCCAACTCCCCTGCCATGGGCAGGGACACCTCCCACTAGACCAGGTTGCTCAAAACCTCATCCAGCCTGGCCTTGAACACCTCCAGGGATGGGGCACCCACAACTTCTCTGGGCAACCTGTTCCAGTGCCTCACCACCCTCACAGTGAAAAATTTCATCCTAATATCTAATCTAAATCTACCCTCTTTCGGTTTAAAGCCATTACGCCTCATCCTATCATTACAATCCCTGATCAAGAGTGCCTCCCCGTCTCTCCTGTAGGCCTGATTTAAGTACTGGAAGGCTGCTCTAAGGTCTCCCTGGAGCCTTCTCTTCTTCAAGCTAAACAAGCCCAACTCTCACAGCCTGTCCTTGCACCGGAGGTGCTCCAGCCCTCTGACCATCTTCATGGACCTCCTCTAGACTCACTCCAACAGGTCCCTGTCCTTCCTGTGCCGAGGACTCCAGAGCTGGACACAGTACTCCTAAAGTACAGTCCTAATTCTGCCAGATGATGCAGGTAATTAAAGATTTTGCTCCGCTGGAAGTATTAGAATGTCCCATTTGACTCCTGACATGCTATCTTTTAAAAGATATACACCAGTATAATGAACATGGCATTTGGGTAAAAGTAGAAAGGCAGGAAGCTCAATCACTCTCAGTGGTAACACCCAGTAAGTTTCATTCAAACCTTCCATTTACTGTCCATTCTCATCTAACTTTTTATATTTGCAAATATGTTTGACAGTATTCTCCTAAGAAGATGTCCAAAACTGCTGCAACTGAGTTAAACAAAGTTTATAATTGACTTCTCACTTTCATTAGAAATACATAGCATCTGAAGGAGTTTTTGTTTTACCAAGTGACTATTTTACACAGCCAGACATGATTAACTCAGGTGTGTTTATGCATTCTGAGGGTGAGGACAGTCACTAGAAAAGATGGTTTATGGAGGCTGTTGAGTCTCCAGCTCTAAAGGCGTTTCACAATGATCCGAGTTAATTATTTGTCAGTAACAATACTGGCCTAGTTGATCCAGCACTTTCTAAGGAAGAGAGAGCTTCAGGACAGAGGCATGCAGAAAAAAGTGCTTGCAGATGTAAAGTTAAAATGCTCTTCACATGGGGTTGTGGGTGAGAATTAAGGGACAGG